AGGACCTGCTGGAGAAGAGCCGGTCCCATGGGAGCCCTGGCACCTGCACGGCCTTCAAGTGTCGATTTCCCACCCTGACCCACTGGACGTGGCTGTTCCCAGGATGGGGGTCTGAACTGGGTGGGCCTCCCTCCAGCCAAGGACAGTTCCCCCCAGGGGGACAAGTGCCCCCCAAGGAAGGTGCTGGCCCTGCCAGGGAGACAAACACCTCACCCCCCCACCGGCAGGAGTGCCTGGCACGGCTGCGGCCAGGATCACAGGGGCAGAGGGGACAGTGGCATCCACTGTGTTCAGTACCATATATTTTTATTGATTTCAGAGAGGAAGGGAGAGGGAGAGAGAGACAGAAACCTCAACGCGAGAGAGACACATCGATCGGTTGCCTCCCACACGCACCCCAACCAGGGCCAGGGACTGAGCCCACAACCAAGGTATGTGCCCTTGACGGGAACCAAACCTGGGGCCCTTCAGTCCTGGGGCCAATGCTCTACCCACTGAGCTACACCGGCCAGGGCAGCCTGCCTCCTGAACCGTGGGGCTCTGAGAGGCCAAAGGGGAGTGGATCCAGAGGCCCATCTTTTTTTTTTATTTTTTAAAATATATTTTATTGATTTTTTACAGAGAGGAAAGGAGAAGGATAGAGAGTTAGAAACATCGATGAGAGAGAAACATCGATCAGCTGCCTCCTGCACACCCCCTACTGGGGATGTGCCCGCAACCGGGTACATGCCCTTGACCAGAATCGAACCTGGGACCCTTGAGTCCACAGGCCGACGCTCTATCCAGTGAGCCAAACAGGCTAGGGCAAGAGGCCCATCTTTTATTTCTTTTTTCTTTTTCTTTTTTTTTAAAGGGCCACCTTTTAAAGGAACAATTCATTCCCATAAAAACAGAGGAAGAGCCTTTCAGCAGAGAAACCTCTCTCCCAGTTTCCACCAAGACTTCCTGTTGACAGCTGATCCAGGGAAATTCAACCAATTCAAATACAGAAAAAAAAAAACTGTTAGGGAATAAACACAGCACCCATGCAGAGACGCCATATTGGTGCACGACAAATAAAATTCTAATCCATAATCACAACATGAATTAAAAAAAAACCTTGAAGGAAGACCAAAGGGCAGAACTCCAAGAACTGGAGAAGCAATGGGTAGGCAACGTGAGCCATGAGGACGACGTGTGAGAACTGACAGGTCTCAGGAAGGAACCGAGAGGAAAGGACAAGTGCATTTCAGAAGTGAAGACCAAACTGCAAGAAATACAAGGGAGAGCGCACTCCGTACGAAGTAGAGCAAGAAACTGTAGAGATTAAAGTAGGAAAACTGAACAAAAACCGAGAGGAAGTAGTCAAGGAGATCAAAGAATTCGAAAAGAAAAACAGATCGGAGATGCCACGATGGTGTAACTGGAGTTTCCGGAGAAGAAAACTCTTTAAAAAATATTTTTATTGATTTCAAAGAGGAAGGGAGAGGGAGAGGGAGAGGGAGATAGAAACACCAATGATGTTGCCCTAACCGGTTTGGCTCAGTGGATAGAGCGTAGGCCTGCGGACTGAAGGGTCCCAGGTTCAATCCCAGTCAAGGGCATGTACCTTGGTTGCGGGCACATCCCCAGTAGGGGGTGTGCAGGAGGCAGCTGATCGATGTTTCTCTCTCATTGATGCTTCTAACTCTCTATCCCTCTCCTTTCCTTTCTGTCAAAAATCAATTAAAAAAAAAAAAAGAAAACATCAATGATGAGAGAGAATCATTGATCGGCTGCCTCCTGCACCCCCCACACTGCGGATCAAGCCCACAACCTGGGCATGTGCCCTGACTGGGAATCAAACCCTGATCTCCTAGTTCATAGGTCGACGCTCAACCACTGGGCCACGCCGGCCCGGCATAAAGAAGAAAACTCAACTGAACAGAAGAAATATTTAAAACTGTAACTCAGGAAAACTTTCCTGAAATGCAGAAGTCTTGATTTCATGAAGTGAAATGGGACACCATGACCCAGCGGGTGTGGCTCAGTG